GGAGCCAGGTCCTCACAGCCTGAGTCCTGGGATGGTCTCTTCCAAGCCAGGACGCTGGTGATGATACCTACATTGTCTAAATCCCATTTTTCTTACCTATAGCGTTGAGACAATAGCATGTATTTCTAACATTATTTAAAAGGCCCTGCAACTATTTTGCTAAAAAAGGAAAGAAAGAAGACAAAAGGAAAGAAGGGAGGGAGGGAAAGAGAGAGGGAAGAAGAGAGAACAGACAAAAGGAAGGAAGGAAGGAAAAGCAAAAGACCATAAGCCTCTTACAATACCGTAAGGAGCATGTAGCATTCACTTTTTATTTGGTACCTCATCAAGTTAATTTATCAGCATTATTATTATTCATGGGTTCATACAACATACCCCTCCCTGAAAAAGATCAGTTCCTATGCTTGAGGAGCTCACATCAAGAGGTAGTGACAGGGGCAGGGAAGATAGCTCAGTAGAATAAGAACTTGCCTGGCAAGCATAAGGTCCTGAGTTCAATCCCTGGTACCACCAAAAAAAAAAATTTTATTTATTTATTTATTTGAGAGAGAGAGAGAGAAAAAAAAAAAAAAAAAAAGAGAGAGAGAGAGAGAGAGAGAGTGACAATGAATGACATCAATGGTTTTAACAAGGTGATGGCAGCTGAGGGACAGCAGGGTGGCATTTGCTCTGGAGTTTGGGTTCAAATTTTAGTTTTGTCACTCCCTGGCCATGTGACTAAGTTATTATTATGTTTCCTGAGACTGCTGGGGGATACAGCTAAAAGATGGCAAGGAACCAGAAGAGAGCTCCACGGTTTGGACATAGGTTGAGTGTCTTCCACTGGTGCCTGTGTTAGAAGCTTGGCCCTTAGTGTAGTGATGATGGGAGGGGATGTGACACTTAAGTGACAGGACTCAGCAGGAGGTGGTGAGTTACTGAGGGCAGTGCTCTCAAGAGGGATTAAGGTGGTTCTCATGGGACACTAGTTAGTTCCCACAAGAGTGAGTTGTGACAAAAGAGTGAGCCTAACCTCAGAATGTTTCTCTGGCTTCCTGTCTCACCACTGAGATGCTATCTGCCATCAGCCATCACCAGAGGCCAAACCAAGGGAGGCACCCAATCTTCAAGCTATGAACTAAACAAAACCCTTTTCTTTATACATTACCCAACTGCCTTAGGCATTTTTGGTTATAACAGTAGAAAACAAACTAAGGTGAGTGTCAGGCACATCATATTTGAGATATGTATCTTCCTATATATGCACCCCTCTACACTTCCAACAGGTGTCCAATGTAGAACGCAATGGGGACACAGAAAGTAGGAAACCAAAATTGAGTCTGGCAGGATTCCAAGCAGAGGTGGCCCCAGAACTCAGTCTTTAAGAATGAATACAAGAGAGTAGAAAACCAGAAAGAGGGGCTGGGAAGATAACGCAGAGGCAGAAACACCTACCTGGCAAGCACAAGGACTAGAGTTCGATCCCCAGTCCCACATACCATCTCAGCCCCAACTCCTGGTACACCGTCCAGCTTCAGATCCCTAGGTGCCCACCATGCAGTAAATCCCAGCACTTGGGAGGTTGAAACAGGAGGATCTCTGCAAGTTTGAGACCAGACTGGGAGCTACAAAAGTGAATGCAAGGCCAGCCCCAATTGCATAGTGAGACCTTGTCTCGAAAGAAAGAAACAAACAAAGACATAAAGAGGTTGACTGAGGCTCAGTCACAGCCCACAGAAAAACATGAAAGGAAAGACCATCAGTCATGTTGTAGGGCCCTTGGAGGGCCTAAGATAGGTATGTTTAAGAAGCACAAAGGAGCAAAATCATGCAGGACCCTGAACATGAGTTTAGATGTTTCTCGAATCCTAGTGAATTAACCTATCTACCACTACCAGTGCAACATATGCTGGAGCTTGCCACAAATACTTTGCCACTTCCTAAACTATGTTTTCATCATTCACCAGTGGTAATTGCCTTTGTAGTCATTATCTCAAGCCTTATGGAAGACTACCTGCCCAACTCTCCTTGAAAGAAGAGTAATTATTTCCATTTTGGCTAAACCTGGCCCTATTTTGATGTGTTGTTATGCACAGAGCTAGGGCTTTGCCTTATCCCCTTAATTGACTTTAAGCAATGCACATCGGTCTAGCCACAGGTCAGTGTTGCCCCATTCTGCAGCTCCCAAGAAACATGTGAGAGCTGGGAGCAGTGCCACACTCCACACTAACTGCCTGGGCTGAGATCGAGCCTTGAGATAAGAGGCTATGACTTTACAGGGCATAAAAAAAATTACACATCAGGGCTGAAGCATTGACCCCAAGACATTAGATACTGCTCAAATTATGTTGTCCAGATTACTCTTTCAGTGTACCCTTTTCTCTGCATATTGCAAAGGTGATCTCAGGCCTCCTACCTAGCCCAGCTCACAGCACGCACTTCCCACCACTCTCATACTCACCCCTAAGTCATTCCCTTCATGATGAATCAATAAAACCTGAGTTTGGCTCTGGGTCAAGGGCTTTGTTCCAGTTGGTCATCATCCTAGCTGGACTTAGGACCTCCTTGGCTCCCTACAACAATAAATACACGTTAGCATCTTTATTCTCCCCATATGTTGCACTGGCAGTGGTAGATAGGTTAATTCACTAGGATTCCAATAACTTTTCCATGGGATTATAAATATAAACTTCCCAGACCAAGATGAGGAAGGGCTCTCTAGAAAGCCTGATGAGGGCTTTGTTAAATGAAGACTTTTTTGGCTGGGCCAGTTATGCTAATCTTTTTTTGTGGAACCAGGCATTGAACTCAAGCCCTTGCACTTGCCAGGGAAGCACTTATTCCACTGAGCCATCTCCCCGGCCCCCTGTTATGCTAATCTCATTCTTTGGGAGGTGACAAATCCTTTGTGGGAAGACCTATACCTTTTCTTCTAGAACAGTACCTGGACACCACAGATTCGCACAGCAGACACCACTTAAAGAATTCATAATAATTCATGCACATTAAATACAGTAACTTCTAGTTAATTTATGGTAATATACTGGAACATTATGGTGTAAAGTAAAGAAGGGTGTGAGGTACCAAGTGAACTGCAGCAAGAGGTCAAAAGACAAATGTCAGTTGGGGTATTTGTCAGATTTCAGTATAAGGGAGGGCCGTTCATTCAAATCACAAAAGCAACAAGAAAGCTGATCTCTTCAGACCACAAAACAACAGAGGCTTATTTCTTACTCCTAGTAACACAACAGAAAATTAGCAAAACTATCTTCTTTTTATTTGAGAGGAAAACGGATTAAAAGAAACGAAAACACACTGTCGAGACAGAGAATCTACTGAATCAAATGGTCTGAGGGAATCTACTAAAGAATGTGAAATATAGTTGTGAGTGTGTGTGTGTGTGTGTGTGTGTGGACTATGTAACACAAGTTAGCCTCAGACTTGCAGTGATCCTCCTGCCTCAGTATCCTGAGTGCCTGGGATTACCCATGTGTAGCATCATGCCCAGTAATAGCAATGTTTGTATGGTTTGTTTGTTTTGAATTGACTTTGGCAGCACTGAAGACCTAATCCAGGGCCTTGTGCACACTAGGCAAACCTTTGTCACTGAACTATATCCCCAGCCTTTTCTTTGACAGTCTTGCTACATCGCCCAGGTTGGTCTTCAACTTGAGACCCAACTCAGCAAAAAAGCAGCTGGAGTTGTAGGTATGTGCGCTGTGGCCATCACAAAAGTATCTTAATAGTCTTTGAACTCTCGCTCATGTATTAATTTACTCGTGCAACTAATATTTATTGAGCTCTTCATATACCTGAGATGATAAGGACACAATGGCAAACAAGACAGACTCCATCTTGTTCTGAACTTCATGAGGATTATACTCAAGCTGGAGAGGAACAAAGGCTTTATGCTGGGTTTGTCAACTCCCAGCTTGCAAGGCCAATGATCCACTACAGGGGAGAGGATTTCCCAAAGAAGATGGGATACTACTGCCAACTAAAACTATCTTAAGTCAGCCTAGGTTTGAAGTTTCTTTCACTCCTAGGTAAGGGGAAAGAAGAGTGGACTAGGTGAGGAAACGATGGGTGACTGGAGATTTCTACGTGCTACACTAAAGATCTGTCACATGACATTGAACCTGGTGCTTGGTAGTGTATTGATCATTATGACCCTGTAAACACTGACAGTATCTCAGTTATTCTTATTTGTTTGTGTCTACCCTTGAGAGAGATTATCAGGTGAACTAAGAGGAAATCAATGTGTACCACCAGTTTGAAACAAAAGTTACTGAATTGCTTAATATATCCATCTGTAGATTTGAGCAGAAATCTGACCAAAGGTTGAAGGTTGCTCAGCTTTGTGACTTCCAAAATTAGTGCTTTTGACCGTGAACTAAGAGCAAGTGAAAGTACTAGGTTTATTTAGATTTTCCCTCAGTTATACACATATATTAACAAACGTAGATTAACAACCTGTGAAAAAATACTATGAGAGAACAATGGCATCTTGTGCTGCGAAAGAGAAGAAAGAAGGCCTGCTTTAGGCTGGCAGGAAGCTCAAGGTCTTCCTGGAGGACATCTGGAAGCAGAGCAGGAAAGACCAGGACCCAGGGGAAAGGGAAAGGACCTGGCAAGAGGAGGCCTCCAAGCCAGGCCTCAGGATGGCAGCTACCAGCACAGGAGGTGGCAGAGAGCAGACCAGGCGGTGTGGGAGGTCCGGAGCCAGGGAGGGCTGGCACGCGGTTCACATTCTCCCCGACTCGGCCCAGCCCACAGGTAAGGTGCTGCGCCCAGCGGAGTCTAGAACGCAAAAGGGCACCCCCGCAGGTGGCCGCCCCACGCCCCACGCCCCACGCCCCACGCAGGTCGAAGGCCAGAGGCGGGAAGGGACAGAGGCAGGACGAAGACGCCCAAGGCGCCGGACACAGCCCAGCAGACCGCTCAGAGCGCAGGTAGCCTGCAGGTCCTCCCCTGGGCGCTCAGCAAGGGCCGCGGGGGCGGACGGAAACCGCAGGGCGCTGCGCAACCGAGAGGAGGGGGCGTTTGCAGGAAAGCTCGGGCGGGGAGCCCGGGAAGGGAGACCCCAGGCCCGCCGCGAGCGCTGCGGGAGGGCACGGCTGTCGCAACTGCGGAGGCCGGCGGTGGGCTGAGGAGGGCGCTGGGCCGAGTGGGCGCTGCGGGGGTGAGGGGCGGAGCGAAGCGAGAGCAGGAAGAATTCGGAAGGAGCCCGAGCGCCTCGGGGAGGAGAGGAAGCGCGGAGGGGAAGGCGAGGGCCGGGCGGCGGGCGGGAGGGCGAGCGCGTAGGGACCTCCTCGCAGACTGTTGCCCCGGACGCGGCCCCAGGGGCGACCAGCGCCCCCGACAGGTGAGCCCGCCCTGGGGAGGCGACGGCAGGCCTGGAGCCCTCTGCTGTCGGGTCCTCAAAGGTGGGCGCGAGCGGACCCGGCAGCTCTGCAGCGGCCGGGAGGGTGTGGGGGCCCGCATCTGGGGAACGGCAGGTGGCCTCTGGGTCGGGCTGGCGGCAGCTTCTTGAGTTACACACTTCCCTTAGAAAAACTGCGGCCCTTCTTTATCCGTCCTACCCCAACCCGCTGCCACTTCTCGCTGTTAGCACTCCAGTCCTCCCCCAGTCCCCCCCACCCAGCCTAAAAAACCTGGGTCTGGGCGGCTTGGAAGCAGAGTCCCTCAAAGGGCTGGCTTCGAAGTGGACTGAGTATGCATGGGCTGCATAGCGAACAGATCCCCCAGAGCTGAGGCTGAGACCTATGGTAGGTATCCTTGTTTCCTGATTGGGGCCAGGACCTAATCCTTAAGAAAAAGTTAATTTGACCCTAGATCAGCAAAGACTTCGTGGGGTCCTAAGGAAATAAGGTACCCAGTCTGATCTGGGGCTTAGGGGCTTTATCCCTCATCCTTACCTCATCGCTCATCCTTGCTCTTTGTGCAACAGCCCCTGAAGACTGCTGTCCCCATCACACCGACTGAGCAGGTAAGAAGGCTGAGGCCCAGATGCAGCAGGTCGCTTGCCTCAGTGCATTGGGTCAGCAAGAACTAAAGCCAGGATTTGATTTGCTTTCACACTGGGAGTTGTAGGTAGACTTGGCACACACTAGGCATGCTGACTCCTGAGGAACATCCCCTCTCTGGAGTCCGAATTTGAACAGAGCTCTTCTTGACTGCAAGACTTTCCCTTGCTGGGGGAACCTACAACAAGCCCAAACACATAATGAATATGAAGCCTTGTGCACATAGGGGCTCCCTTACCACACAGGCCATGCAGCTCAGTAACTATTGCAGGAAACAAGTGTATGTAAGGTGCTGTTGTGCACGGAATTCAACACTAGTTATGGAGCCCACCCAGGCTGCAGAGGGAAGTTGCCCTTGCAGGGCACAGGCTCAGAGTCCACTAGGGGTGTAGCTACCCTTGCCAAACCCAGGACCTGTTTGCTTGAGCCCCAATCTCTGCTGATGACTCATTCCCCTGTTAGTAATTTCCTGCCTTTTGCATCAGCTACAGCCTCAGTCCTTTCTTTGGCCTGTTTTTGTTTTGTTTTCCTTCCCATCCATATTCCCTTGGCTTAATGTTCACATTCTCTGGTACTCTTTTTAGACGGTCTTCAGGTTCCTCATTTTACCTGTCAGTCTCTATGTTAGTAGTTCCCAGTTCAACTCTCTGGCCTGTCCCTAACCTGGAAGTCTGGATCCAAATTCTCAGATATTCTAGTCTCATCTGGCTAATTCCACTGCTTGTCCCCACAGGTATCTAAATACAACATTCCCAAGCCCCAAGTTATCATTGCATCCTCCCACCAGGGTGGTATCTCTGTTCTCTTCTGCTCCTTGTGTGGCTATTGCATTACCTTTCGCACTGGTCCTTCTGCCCCTGGTGTCCACTCACTTCTACACATCTGAAAGCCCGGGAGTCATCTTGTTGGTGTCTTGAGATCTGACAGTCCTTCCTTGTCTCCTTCCTTATACCCTGTGCCCTAAAGGAAAACCCTTCACATTTTGTGTAATTGCTTATCTGTCTTCACCTTGGGACTGTGAGCTCCTTCAGCAGTGGTTTCATTCTTTGTACCCTCAGGATTGGCGTGTAGTAGACACTCCATTAGTATCAGTGTAGTTAATGACCTTGTAATCAGACCTTTTGGGGGTGGTTTACAGGTAATAAAGCAGTTCACTAAGTACCATGTGGTGTGACATTTCATGATCTGTCACCATTTATGAATGTGGGGTGTATGTGTGTGTGGCATTACAGATTGAGTTTATAAATGGTTACAGATTAATGACAAGATCAAAATAAGCTTTCCAGTTAAGTTCTGTTGCTACTAGTAAATGCTGATATAAAACATTCAGATAAGCCCTAGTCCTTCTCTTCTGTTTTCCTCAGGTCAAGGAGTAGTAAGCAAAGCGTGCAAGGAGAACAGAAGAACATCACCATGGCTTCCATGTCTACTCATGGAAACCAAGAGAAGGGTCCCCACTTGCCGCCGTCAAGCAAGCAGGTATAAACTTTAATTTGAGTCGAGGGTGAAAGCTGCCATCTGAAGAGGAAGAGCACAGAAAATGGTCATAAAACTTCCCCTGACCTGCCTTCTTACTTCCTTTTAATCAGTCTGGCTCTGTGTTAAGTCAGTACAGGGAGTATGGATTGAGGAAGGAAAATGTGTTTTTGGTTGTCTCAAAAAAAAAGCCTTTTAAATTTTTATTTACAAACTCTTTTAATTCTTTCCCTTTTAGAATCCAGCTCAGTCAACTCAAAAGGAGGGTGCCAGTGACTGAACATATTTGATGTACCATGATACATCGTGCTTATTTTTACATTTTTTATTAATAAGGATAATCATACTAAGCATATGCTGCTGACAGGTGTTGCTTTTAGGAGAGCAGAGTCCGTAATGACTAATTAGCCATCAGATTGGGAACCCACGTGTTAACATGGGCACATTTTTTCAGCTTATTAGGAATGAATATTATTTGCTTCAGCAACATAAAATGAGAGAAAATATTTGATGGAGAAATGGAACTCATGGTCTTGGGAGTCAACATTTCGAGCTAAAATTGTCTTTGGAGGAGACATGTAAGGAGCAGAGCATAGGGGAGGCACACAGGCAAATGCTAACAGGTCACAGGGGAAGAATTTGAACACCTGAGCCACTCCTGTGAAATAGAGAGCCATAAAACATTTATGGCTCTGCAGAAAAGGATCCTTGGCTCCTTTCAGGAGACTGCAGAAGTGGTGATCTTGGCTGCAGGAGCCCAGCAGTTGTGATAGCTGAGTGTGTATATATGGGTACAGTGGAGGGCGATTATCCATATTTCTGCTGAGCCACAGCAGGAGCAAGAACAATTACAGATACTCCTTGCTTTACAATGGGGCTGTATGCTGATAAACCCACCATCAGTGGAGTTTCCCAACACAGTGCAGTGTAAAGTGCTGGCTGTGTACCTTCGCGATTATGGAACTGACTGGGAGCTGCTGCCCACTACCACAGAAAAATACACATATGGTTAGCCCAGGACAAGATCAGAGTTCCACATATGAAAGCGTATCCATTCCCACCACCATAAAGTAAAAGAATGTGAACCATCATGAGTTGGGGACCGTATTTACACTGGATCCACAGGAGTGCTTGCTGGCGAGCACTTATGCTAAGGAGCCAAGGTAACTAGAATGACAATGGTCACTTCCCCCAGCACTCTGCGTTACCATGATTACAGCTGTTGGGCTGCACTGATCACTACATCCTGGTACTGAGTCATGCATTGTGGAGAATAACAGGGTGACTGCTGGCTTGCAAAGTTTATAGAGCTCTGAAGGTACAGGAGCCACAGGGCCCCTGCATCCTATGAGTATGACATCATTCATTTCACAAACTTGGTACAGTGTCTAGTCCAGGAGAAAGTGCTTAAGAAATGGTGCCTATCACCCTCCTTGATATCTGCTATAAAACAGTCTAAAGAGCCAGGGAGATAGCTCAGTAGAATAAGTGCTTACCTGGCAAGAGCAAGGGCATGAGTTTAATCCCCAGTTCTGAAAAAAAAAAATTTTTTTTGAATTTTTCTACAAATTTTAATATGATATATAATTATTGATTTTCAATAAAGTTAATAAAAAACCAAAATACTTAGGATAGATATACAGGTATATTCTCTTAATTCAATGAATAGAAAGATTTGTTCTAATAGTGATTGTGGACAGGATATCATGTCTGTATCTTGTACAATGAATAACCACTAAGACAACAATATACAATACAGAGTTTACTGGCAACCGCGGCCTTTCGTCCCACAATCCACCGCGCTCTTCCTTTCCAACTTGGGCCCGGCAGAATGGCTCCTGCAAAGGGTGGCGAGAAGAAGAAGGGCCGTTCTGCCATCAACGAGGTGGTGACCCGAGAGTACACCATCAACATTCACAAGCGCATCCACGGAGTGGGCTTCAAGAAGCGCGCCCCTCGGGCACTTAAGGAGATCCGGAAGTTTGCCATGAAGGAAATGGGGACTCCCGATGTGCGCATTGACACCAGGCTCAACAAAGCTGTCTGGGCCAAAGGAATAAGGAATGTTCCATATCGTATCCGAGTGCGGTTGTCCAGGAAACGGAATGAGGATGAAGATTCACCAAACAAGCTGTATACCTTGGTAACCTACGTACCTGTTACCACGTTCAAAAATCTCCAGACAGTGAATGTGGATGAGAACTAACTTGGAAATAAAATTACAGAACTGGAAAAAAAAAAAAAAAACAATATACAATACATTAATAATAGAAACTGTCCTAATAATCGGTTTTGAAACTTTTTCATTGCTATTTGTTTCTCAGTAAAATTATTTAAAAAAAAAAAAAGTCTAAAAAGAGCAGTGGAAAATCAGCAGATCTGTCCCTTTACCAAGGAGGCAGCACTGAGCTGGTTCTTAAGATCAGGCAGGAAAAAAAAAACCAAACAGGTAGAGTGAAGCATGGTACCACACAGCTATAGTCTTAGCACTTAGGAGGCTGAGGCAGGAGAATCACCTTGAGTTCAAGGCCAGAATTACATAGTGAGATGCTTTTTTTAAATAAGTAGCCTTAAAAAAAAAATAGTCTTAAAAAAAAAAATAGTCTTTTAAAAAAATAAGGCCATAGAAAGAACACATGGCCTCAGTTGAAATTTACCCTCTCCAGATAGCCACTCTGCTCCTGATGCTCTAGACAGTAAGTCACTGTCTCTCCACCTGGGACTCAGTCGGTGCCTGAATCCACTCACTGGATTGGCCACTGATCAAGAGCTGGGTGTGATGGCTTATGCCTGTAGACCCAGCTCCTCAGGAGGCTGAGACAAAAGGATACAAGTTCAGTGCCAGCCTAGACAATTTAGGGAGACCTTATCTCCAAACAGAAAGTTCTGGGGTTGTAGCTCCGTGGCAGAGCACTCGCCTAACGTGGATTTAATCTCCAGCACTGATAGAGAAAGAAAAGCAGAGACACACAGAGTGGGTGCTCTGCTTTGTATTTTGTTTTATTTTTTGTGTTTTGAGATAGGGTTTCACTATATAATAGTTCAGGCTAGGACTGAACTCACTGTGTAGCCCAGGCTGGCCTTTGACCTTGCAGAGATCTGCCCATCTTGGTCTCCCAAGTGCTGTGGTTGCAGACACTTATGCCTGGCTTGGATGCTTGTCTGGTGATCTGAACTAACTCACCATGTGACTTTCTTTACAGAGCTTCTTGTTTTGTCCAAAATCAAAACTGCACATGCACAAAGGGGAGATTGCCAAGATTATCCGAGAATGTCAAGAAGAAAGTTTCTGGAAGCGAGGTAACCTCATCCCTCTTCATGCGCATTGACACTGTCTGTGCTGCTGTAAACCATCTCCATATCCTGTTTGAATTATGGTGATGATTTATTATTGAGCAGGGTTTTGCATAAGTCTGTGAAGAACTTTGATATTTGGAGATGTTTAAATCCATTTTGAGGGCTGGGGAGATAGCTCGGTGATCGAAGTGCCTGCCTGGCAAGCACAAGGACCCGGGTTCCATCCCCAACAGTACCCCATGCCCTGCCATGTATGGTGGCACACGCCTGTAATCCAAGCCCTGGGGAGGCTGAGACAGGATCATTACGAGGCCGAGCTGCATAGCAAGATCCTGTACCAAATAAATAAATGAGTAAACGATTAAATCCATTTTTAGCCTCTTTTTGAGCAGAAGTGACATCTAGTTGTGAGCCCTTTACCTCACTTAGCAGAAAGCAATAGACACATAGCTCTTCCTTTCAGGTGAGCACCGCGTGTATCAACATCAGTGTTTAGATTGTCCTCTGAATAACGGTTACAGAGACAATAAGCAATGTATAGTTATCATAACTGACCTACTAACCTGTTTTGAAACTGTTTAATTGCTATTTTTTCTCATTAAAATGAATTAAAAACAAAACAAAAAATGAATATTTAGAATCCCTTGATGGCTAGAAAGTAGGCCTTGTCTAAATTTTACTAATGTGTAAGCCTCTTAGGACTCAGAAATGATGCCTAAATTCTTTCAAGCCTTCATCCTTGATCCTAACACAATGCCTTTGATATATAAAATACCTTGTAAGTACTTATTTATTGAATGAATAATGGCAGTGTTCCATTAATACTTCTCTTACACTATTTCTGAATAGCATGTTGTACTGAGTTCCTTCCTCTTTCTGGGCCTGCCTTATATCAGATAAGGGTGTAAGGTCAAGCTGTGTATTAAAGTCTCTTCAGATTTAAAAAGAAAACTCCTGACTCATCATTTGAAAATGGCATAGCCAGGCCTGCTATGTTCTAGTTCTAGCACCTGGGAGGCTGAGGAAGGAGGATTCCTAGGAGTCTGAGGCCAGCCTAGGCAATATAGTCAGTTCAAGGCCAGCCTGAGCTACATAGAAAGACCCTGTCTAAAAAAAATGTTTTTTAAAAAGGAGTAACGGGCTGGTGAGATGGCTCAGTGGTCTAAAGCACCTACTTAGAACAAGCATAGCAAAGCACAGGGACCGCGGTTCATCCCCCAGCACCACGTGCCAGCCAGCCCGCCCCCTGGTGGGCTGAGCTGGCCACACACACACACACACACACACACACACACACACACATAAATATAATAAAAATAAAGAGGATGAGAAGATTTTTAAAAAGTAGTAACAGTCCGCATCTTGTACAGCAATTAACCACCAGGAAGAATGTATGCAATGTTTTAACTGTTGAAACTGTCCTACCAATTTGGTTTGAAACTGTCTCATTGCTATTTGTTTCTCAATAAAATTTAGGAGAAAAAATAAATAAGGCATAACAGCCTATGGCTGTAACCTCAATATTTTGCAACATTGCTGGCAGGAATAATTTAGATTTTGTAATTCTAATCTTTAGTTCTTAAGTCATACAAATCTAGCATCACCAGGTTTGGAAGTAACACTCTAAAAGGTGATATTCCTCCTGTGTTACAATGACTTGCTGGTTGTGCTTCTAACCATTTGTGTCTCTTCTAACAACATATGACCAGATACTTTAGTGAGCCCTAGTAGATTTGCACTTCAGTGCAACCATTTGCCTACCATCGGGTAGCTGGCAATGAGTGGAAGAATTGGTTGCTATTTGATTTGTCTTGGTTGCTAGGAAGAAATAGATGTTTGTTACTGCTCTGTGCTTTTGGAGGAAGTCATCTGACACATATTGACAGAACTGGAAACTGCTTTTTCTAAATTAAATTGCCTATGTTAAAAGTCAGCTAAATATTGTACGTGTTTAACATGAATATAATTTTCTGATAATCTGTTGATCTTAAAACAAATATCTTATCTGGTTGTGGGACAAAATATCATGAAAGACAAGAAAACAAAACAAAACCCAAAAACAAATCAATAAAATACAAGGGAACTATCCTATATTAAAGCAGAATAGAGAGTAACTGTTGTACATTGTCCTTGAAGCTTGCAGCACCATTACTGAGCCAATTGGAGAGATTTGAACATAGATTATATATTAGTTAATATAATTTTTCTTGTATATGAGTAGTCAAGAAGCAAATTTCTTGAGTATGCTAATAAGATTGAGATTATGCTGGAGAATGTTTTTGTTTTTAGAAGATATTGCTGAAATATTCCATGTGAAGTGTCATGATGTTTGCAAATTTCAGATGGCTTGAAAAATTACTGAAAGGGATAAAGCAAAAATTTCACAATTAGTGAATCTAGAGGACATCTATGCAGGAGTCTATCACCGTGCTATTTAATATTTCTGGATTGAAATATCAAAACATATAGCTCCAAAATTGAGCAGCTAAGTGTACAGACACCCTAGCATGCCCTTGGATGCAGAGATTAAAATCTTGCACATGTTGAGAATTTAGAAAGTGTGGATGTCAGAGATGGAGATGAATGGAGCTCAGATTTGGTTAGATTGATGCTGTGTATCAGATTGAATGAGGAAGATCCAAGAAAACTCCCCATGCAGTCCTTAAGTATTTGTTAAATAAGTAAAATAACAAATGAATAAGACCCACTGCCAAGGAAGGGAAGACAAAAACTCAGAGTGATTATCCCTGGCTTCTAGGAGAGAGGTCATGTTTTAATATACCCAATATTGAGGGGCATTTTTGTTTTACAGCTCTGCCTTTTTCACTTGTAAGCATGCTTGTTACCCAGGGACTGGTCCACCAAGGTAAGAGTTACTGTTTGTGAATAGTTTAACTTCAGTGAGTCCAGGTTTTGTGACACTCCTGGCAGCTTTTTGGTACTGGGTATTTATATTAGGGGGGAGGATTTACTTGTGTATATTTTTGCCCATTTTCAACCCAAGTCCTTGTCTCCTAGAAATCCTATGAGTGAATGTATTATATTACTTGAAGGAAGATTAAAGTTGCAGATGGAGCTAAAATGTTAATCAGGGGCTGGTGAGATGGCTCAGTGGTCTAAAGCACCTACTTAGAACAAGCTTGGCAAAGCACAGGGACAGCGGTTCAATCCCCCAGCACCACATGC